CACTAAATCTAGCAATGGATTTTTTTCAGCATGAACTGCCTTTCTTCTGTCAAATAGTACTTTGTAAATCTGATGATAGATTTCTTTTAGGAGAGGTATGAATTTTAGGAAATTTTTCGTTTTTCTACTGAGGAAAGGGTTTTGGTTTTTTTTCTTCTGACCTAAAATGATCAACTTCAATTGTGTTTCGTATATAATAAGGAACTTCAAATAGAATAACAGTGCAAATATTTTTTCATTGTTTATAACTTGTAAATCATGCACAAAACCAGAGGAGCAAACAGAATTTTATCAATGCTCCAAGCACTTAGGTTTGTAAATTACAGTGAGATGGGGCCTCAACACACTTAATGAACTTTACAGCACAAGGAGAGGCAGGTTGATTTAGGTGTACCAAAATAGCCTGTGCAAAAGCCTGTGTACTTTCAACCAGAGTATAAGTAATTAAACTCATATATTTAGATATTTTTTGCCTTCTCATTCAATAGGTGTAATGCTGTCTTCTGTGTTTTAGGTATAGTATTTCAGTGAGAATCTATAGCATTTGTAATGAGAAATGATGTTTTCCTGAAAAACCAGACGCTATTCAGTGTTGTATAAATTTTATTCAGAGGTTTACTTGAAACAAGATACAATATATGTTTGGAAGAATAATTTCAGCATCTAGGTGCTTTATTTGAAGGACATTATATTCTACAAATCTTTGGTGAGCTCAAGATACAAACACAGCTGAGATTTCTGTCATAGGAGATGCATTTTCTTCAGAATACTTTAGTTGTTATATGTGAGATTTATGACAATGTTTGTGTGGTTGGAGCACCAATTCTGACTCAGGAGTTATGAAGCTGCAAATCACTGGTCACTGAAAGGTGTGTTGGTAGCGAAGTACAATTAATGCTTACCTTGTTCTCTTTTATGTTTTCCTAGGTGCTTGTTTTAGGTATAAGAGATATTTTAGAGAGTGAATGTTGGACAAGATGGAATTGGTCTGGCCCAATATGGGCTCAAATGGCTAGTGTTCTGAATGCAGAAGTATGAGGAGATAGGCCTAGTGATTCCAAGCTCTGTGCCTTGCAAACTGGCCAAAAAATTATAAATTGGTCTTGTCTCTTTTGTGTTTGTTTTAGAAACTAAACAAATTTAGAAAGGTAGTATATTGTGCCTGATCATTGCTGGTTTTGACCAAAGAACCCATAGATCCAAGTACTGTTTGACCTGAAATTATGGTACTTACCAGTTTGTGTGTTTGACTTTATGGAATTACTGGTAAGAAAATAATATTAAATAACTCCTGAAAAAATAAAGGTGAGAGGTAAAGATGTGTAATGAAAAAAAACCCCAAGGGAAAAAGTCAGTTTAAAAAATTTGAAACTACTATTTTACTAACCACTATTAATAGTAATTAAGATTAATAACAATTAATTACTACAAATTAACCTTACACAACATAAGATTTTACAGTTTTGAGCTGTTTAAACTTACTATGTTCACTTGCAGGCCTTGCTTGTGCTCAGAAAACAATGCCTTGAATTTGTGTGATGCAGCTTCATGGAAGAGAGCTATGATGCAGTCCTTTTTCCTTTGGGTTTGGCATAGCATTAATAAGTTTTGAAGTATGCTGACTTCATGAAGGTGCCAGTGTTGTCTTTTAAAGTTTTTTTTGTAAAGTTTGAAATGTTATCTGATCCTGGCTGGGCATTCACTAAATTGAGTAAGATTTTGAAGTAATGGTGAAGTAGAGGGATAGGGTCTGAACTAAATATTAATATTTTGTGGTAGAATTATTTTTGATCAGGGATGGAAAATAAAGAACATTTCATCTTTAGGTATCTTCTGTGTGCTGTGCAAACCTAAGACTTTAAGCACAAATGTCTGGTTTTTCCTCCCCTGTAAGAGTCCATTCTAGTATTAAGACAGAATCTGCCAATTGTATCAACTGTACCTGAAGGCTGGGAAGATGCCAGCTGTTAGGCAGGGTAGGCAACTATCAAGTGCACATAAACTTTTCTTTTTGCCTGTGAATGTGTGTCTCATTTTAGAAGAGAGAGTACTGGTGGATTTTTAGTGAAAATAGTGTAAGTAATTTAACTGAAGTAGATTTAAGTAATAATTTTGTCTGCAAAACACTGATGCAACATAGGAATTTTGTCAAAGCGTCTTTGTTGCTCCTGTTCCCAGAGTGGTGAAAGGCGATAGTAATTTGCTAGTGCTCTGACAGAGATAGTGGCCTTTTTTTGTGGACAGTCAGCTCAGACAGTGTGCTGCTAACATTCTCAGTAATCTCTTAACTCTACTTGTTTGAGACAAAATTTGAGTAAAAATCTAGAAGCAATTTTTTTCTCATGTCTTACATTAATTTTATTATCCAGTGGAATTATTGGATGATTGTTAATACAGAAGACTGAAAGTATACCATGAAACTTGGTTTCAGGCTGAAATTTAGTAAGAAACTGTCTAGTGTTTGTTGGTGGAGGAAATACCCTGACAGAAAAGGGGGAAGGCACTGCAGGCAAATGGACTTTTTATATAGGACTAACTTTGACTGCCAAGAATGAACATGGCCACAGCAGGAAACTTGTAGTTGTACTCATGGATAAATTTGCAATGTGTTCCCATTGGGAATTAAAATAAATGCTGTGATCGATGTGTTTAATGTGGATCAGGGATTTCATCAATCTCTATCTTACTTGTAGTTTTAGCCAGCATTTAAATTATCATAAAGGTACAGTTTGCTGTTATATTAAAATATTGTGTGCATTAGTTTACTCCTTTGTTTGTAGAAGACATAAGCAATTGCCATGATATTTCTCTTTGCTGACATTGTGAGGAAAGAAGGATCAATTGTTGTCAAAAATACAGACAGTTGTCTGTTATGTAGAACAATGGAAAAGACCAAGGTTTCACTTCCATTGGATTGCTCATCTCTCTGCTGAAGGATGTACAGACTGAAGTCCAGCATTAGGCATGAGTGACCAGTCTGGGTTCATGGGCTCCATGTGTGAGCTCGGAGCCCGGCAGGAACTTAAGGCTTTGGAGAGAACTGTGCAGGCACACTTTGACTGGAGCTGGAGCTCCAGTAGAACTGCAATGAACTGAAACAGTGGAGTCCTGGAAGTAAACTGCCTCCATGCAGTCTGTTTTGTGTGTCTCTGGACTGTGCTTATCAGCTGCTTTCAGTCTGGGGAATGCAGTGTAGGCAACTAAGGCTCTGTGTTTCAAAAAAGCAGTTCTGGTGCTGCAGAGTTGAGACTGTCTTTGGTAGCAGAACAGCTGCTGTGTGCATAGACTGCAATTTCAGAAGACTGCCTTGGCCTGTGATGGTTCATGCAAGGCATTAAATTCAAGTGTCTTACCTGAAAATCACAAATTTCTATGATAGTCATAAGCATGAGTTGGGATAAGAGCAGACTGAAAGGAAAATGAAGTGATTGGTTGATCAGCTGGCATAGCTTAGTGTTAGATGTTAACATGGTGTCTACAAATAATTTTTGATGTTTCTGTTGATTATGACTGCTTTTTTTAATCAAACAAATTTTCTGATAGGGTTTAGAGGAGGCAAGTACCCTTTTACTTTATCTGAGAGAACATACAGGATTGTAACTAACTTCTATTTAGGATTTTCTGTACTGTTTTGCTCTTTTTCTTGCATCAGACAATACAGCTGATGTGTTGTCATTTCACTTGTATATATGTCAGTGCTGAATTTTTCCTTAGAAATACTTTGGGAGCACATAACCATAGTTTTGCTTTTCTGCATTTTTGTTCTGAATGAAGAAACTGATTAACTGTAACCTATGTCAATTTGTAGGATATCAAAACTCATTCATGAGAAAAACCATCAAATTTGATATGAATAATCATTGTAATTTTTGGAGTATAGATGTTTTGCTTTGTCTTTTACTTTGCAATTTTTCCAGTGCTAATCTAGATAATGACTCTTTCCTGGCAGAGAAGTTTTTATACAAAATCTTTGGTTGCTTTCATAAAACTAAGTAGTCAGAGACATTCCCTGAAGGATGGTACTCATCACTGAGGCATTCTTTGTGTTTTGTAGATTAAGCTGTAAACATTTGATGCAACGGGGATGGGAAAGAAAGTTTCTATATTATTCTGTGCCCATTCTCCTGTTTGGTTACTTATTGAAAATGCTTGTGCATTGCTTTATGCTCTCCAGTCCTAACTGGACTGGATAGATCTATCTAGAGATAGATCTATCAGTATTTAGATAATCTATTGAGCTGAAGTGTAAGGTTCAGTTTCCTTTAATGCTTTTATTTATTGTTATCCTTAGTGTAACTAAGGTTTTCTGGAGGAGATATGGGGAGAGAGTCTATTTTTATTTCTGACATTGAATCTATTTCTTCATTATCTCCTCTATTTCTTTAGTCTTCACCATGGGCTCTTGTCCTACTAAAAAAATTTGGAAGGAAGAGTCCCAATGACTTCTTTGAGGTTAACTTTGATTTACCAGTCTTTATAGCTAAAAAGAAACAGTGAAATATATCATCCAAGGCTGAAATAAGAATGGGAACATAAAAGTTTAGAGATTATGATGACTTTTTAAGTCTTTCTTCTTGAGATGTAATATATGAAAGGAAATGCAAGACACAGCACTTTGGTGTCTGGGAAGGTTATAAATTCAGTTGTATCTGACTCTGCAAACAGTGAACTCATGCTTTGGGTATTCATATCCTATTAAACTTTATAGTTTCAAATGGAAAAAGAATCTGTTGGTAGCTACACTACTTGTGTCATGTTCTGGGTGCATCTTTATTATGTGGTAAAACAACCCCAAAACATGTTTGCTCATTAATTAAAATTAATGGTCACCAGTGAGCATTAGAAAATTAAACATTATTAGATACAATATTTTTAATATATGAATTTTAGGAATTTGTCATACATTTAGCAATATAGAAAGAGGTAATATTTCAACAGCTTTGTTGATAATTTAATTTTTTTTTATTTGTATTTTGATTTACTTATACTTTATTTATCAGAGAAAGCAACCAGCGAGATGAACACTGCAGAGGACTGGGGCCTCATCTTAGACATCTGTGATAAAGTTGGACAGTCACGTACAGGGTAAGTGACTTTAGGAATTTCTTCCCCAAACATTTTTAATTCTGTTATTTCAGTCTCATACCCAGGTGAGAGGAATAAATTTTTTATCTTTTATAAACTTCTCCAACACCTGAATTTAACTTAAATTGATTACAAGTAAAAGGAAAATGTATGGGGTTTTGGCTGAAATATTTTGTGATCCTTTCTTTGGAGATACTGGCTGATCTGTTAAAATTAGGACTTGTGTACAGCAGCTTTTCACCAATGTAACAGATTAAATAAATGTATTTGTTTTAGCAGTATCGCTGCAAACCCAGGGGGTTTCATGAGGCATTTTTCTTACAGAATCATAATCTGAGTTGGAAGTGACCGCCAGAGGTCATCTAGTCCACCCCCCATCAGCTTCAAACAGGTCTAATTAGATCAGGTTGCTCAGGACCGTGTCGAGTCTTGAATGCCTCCAAGGTCAAAGGTTCCACAGCTTCTGTGGGCAACATGTTTCAGTTTTTAACTAGTTCTACTTACTAAGTAAGGAAATAAAACAATAATCCTACAATCTGATTACAATTTTGCCTGTTCTAATTTGATTGTTGCATCTTGTCCTATGACTGTGCAGCTCTACGAAACAATCTGACTGCATCTTCTGCCTATACTCTGATTAATTTGTTGTTGAAAGCACTAAGGCCCACTTTTTGTCTGCCCTTCTCAAAGCTGCAAACACCTCTCCCACCCATCTTTCCTTGTATGTGACCTTCCCTGACCGTCCCGGCAGCTATCCATTGGACTAAGAGCAATGTGTAAATAGCCTTCTTTCACTGGGGAGCCCCAAACTGGACAAAGTGTTCCAGATGCAATCTTACAAGTGCAGAATGGAGGGAAAGGGTCACTTTCCTGACCTTGTTGGTTGTGCTGACCAGTAGTTTGAGCCAGGGTGTGGTTGGTTGTCTTTGCTGCCAGGCTGCATTGCTGACACCTTTCACCCAATAGGACATGCAGATAGATCATTTCCTACTTTTCATGTGGTCAACTCCTGACCTCATTTTAAATGCAATACCTTACCCTTGTTCCTGTTGAACTTCCAGTCTGCCTATTTTTCCAGCCTGTCTTGGTCCCTCTGAGCATTAGCCCTTCAGTATATTGATCGTTCCCCTTCAACTTGCTCTGGTCAGTAAGTTACTGACAGCACTGTTGGTCCCAGCAGAAATCCCTGAAGGATACTGCCTGCTAGCTGGAATTTGCACTAAAGGTGACAACTCTGAGCCTAGGAGACCAGTGTTCCACCCATCTTTATCCAGCCTGTATTTCACCAGCTGTGTGATAAGGAGACTATGAGGGCTTCAATTGTATGTCAAAAATTTGCTAAAACCAAGGTATAAAGCATCTGGTGCCCTCCATTGTTCTTGCTATCGGACTACAAGTGTCTTTGTCACAGAAAATAATAAGGCTTTGTGTTTCTTCCCTTTGTTTTCAGATGCTATTCCCTGTCATCAGGGCTTTGATAAATATACATTTTGAAGATACTAAATTAAGCACATCTTAATATGGGCTGCTAATGTTTCCATTATTAAACATTTACTGAGCTCTTTCATAGAATTTATACATGAATTTACTTTTTGGACAAGAAAAGATCAAGTATAATCTGAGCTAGCATTTAAAAATACAGCTTAAAGACATAATTTCAGTGCTTTTAGTCAGTGTACTGTTAGGATTTGGAAATGTTTTAAATACACCTTCTTGAAGCATTCCTTGTAACAATTCAGGTAAGGAACAGACTCAAGAAGAAAGTTTTGCCAGTGATGCTGTTAAAGGTTTTTCTGAGAATGACTTGGATTGCCTTGTAAAACTGCCAGAAACAGTGTGAGATGCCAGACAGCAAAGTCCCACCTGGGACTTTTGTTCCAAAGGACAGGTTTGCAAATAAGCTTATTCCTTGGGATTAGCAATGGTCTCTGGAGGAGTACTTAAAAATAGCACAGCATATTGAGACTTCTGTGCTGTTGTGTACAACTGCAGTTAAGATAACAGCTGACAAGTTGTTAATAATGTTTCATATTGATCTTTATATGTAAAACTGCATTTCTATTCCTTGAGCACATTAATGCTGAGTTTGTAGCAGTAACTATATTATTGAATGTTTCAGTATTCTATTTAGTTACTGAAAGCCTTTTCACCTACAGGTGAAATTTAGTCTCACAGCAACATAGCCTGAACAATGCTTCAATGTGTGTAGCCGCAAGAGACAGCAATACAGACAAAGCTAGAGATCTGGTAGTGTGCAGCTAAATTCCTGTTAGGATTTGTGAAGTTAGTTTGTGTTGGTTTTGGTCTTTTTCTTTTGTGTGTTTTTATTTTAATCTTCTTAATAAAACTTTTTTATAAAACAAAAGTGTGACTTTAAACTTTGTAATATTTATCCTGCTTGTAGTAGGCTGCCAGCTGACTTGTTGCTTAAATCCAGATTCTGTTAAAACTTGCTGAGAGTGGGTTTTCTTTGTTTTTGGTGGATTATGTCATGCAGTAGCAAGGTAAAGCAAGACAATGTTTCCCATTAAGAACTTTGAATGAGATGCACTTAGCTGTTTGAAATTCTCTCTTAAGTTCCTCTGACAAGGATGAAAGTCTTCTTAACTGGGATTGGCTTTAATCTTTTAACCAATTCTGCTCTAATACAAGCTGTTAACAAACAATAATACAAGCTGTTAACTTTGTCTAACAAAGTTACTGTTCTTGGCAGAACTTTAGATTACGAAATCTCTCTTTTGTGGATTTTCTTTGTACCAGTCTGTGAGCTCCATTGCATCCTGCAGCATTCCAGTTGTGGACACCTGAAGCCACAGCAGCCTAGAAAAACACTTATTCATTAAGTAGCACTTCTGGTATATTACATTTTCTGCCAACTTGTTGTATCCAGATTAATTGTTGGAAACCTGTTATGCTGCAAAGGTGTTGCATATTCTCATAAGATAAATTAGTTACAGTTCTGTAACATAATTGCTACTGTTATTTTTATGTTGTAATACTTTCCATACTGAGAATTACAAATTGCTGAAAATGTTATCTTGCTTCCTTTATTCCAAACAACTAAACCAGATTTTTAGCAAGTTAGAATTCCACTGAATCCCTCTCTTTGACCACTTTCTCTGTTATCTGTGAATTTCAAAATTAGAGCTCTTACTAGAATTTTGATAGAAAACACAGGAAAGACAGAAAATATATCAGTATTTTAAACAATATGACATGTTTACAATAGCCTATATGAAATACTGCTCTGTGTAGTGTAGAATTAACGCTTTCTGCACATTTTGCATTTCAGGTTCTTATATGAAGTAAAATTTGTCTACTGATGAGACAACACATTTTTTAAATCTCTGAATTTCCTTTAGGAACTCATACAGCTCAGCAGTTGCACATCACATTGTTTGCCTCCTATTTTTTGCCAATATTAGCTCAGTGAGCAAGTTGCCTTTTCAATACAGAAACATGATTTAAACAAAGGTTTTACTGTTAGAGGCAATCTTTTCTGTCTCCTGGTTTTGTACAGCATTTTTGAAAACTTGTTTATTTTAAAAACTTTATTCACATGATGTGCTTCTTGAGGCTATCCTCTGCAGGGCCAGGAGCTGGACTTCAATGATCTCTGGGGTCCCTTACAACTCAGGGTATTCTATGACTGTATATTTGACTGGCATTTTAAATCTCACTACAGGAAAGGTATAGATTTTTGCATAGTGTTGCTTTTCTGCAATGAAAATGCCTACAACACTGAATCTGTAGTTTATAATCTCAGAATAAAATCACATTATCAAATTTGAATGGTTCATTAAACAGAGTAAAAGGAAAAATTAAAGGACAGGTATGGTATATTTTAGCAAAGATGCCCCCCCCTTCTTCAGTCATTTTAGTGCTAGCCAGTTCTTAACTAATCATGTTTGCATTTGGTTTTGAGGCAGTTTTACTGTTTATTTCATGAGACAAATCAGTCTACATTGACACTATCACAACTTCAGGTTTCTTCCTGAAAAGTTATTTAATTAAAAAAAATAATGGCTGAAAAAAAAATTAAGTCAGTGGCTGAGAGACTACACCAAGTGTTGAGAAAATAGAAATGTTCATTGCAGCACTCTGTTGGGGGTGAGTATTAGAAAATTGTCATGGAAAAATGGTTTGTCCATATTACTGCTTGCCTAACTTTGCCTTGATTCCTTAAGGATTAATCACTGCCTCAGCAAGTCAGTGTTCTGATTAGCTGTTTCTTCTTTGGTTGTTTTTGTGCCTGGTCATGCAAGAGAGAACAGCAAAATTGCTTTCTTGATAGTCTTCTGATGTGTCCTCAATTTTTTTCCCCTCAAATTACACAATCTTGGTACCATTTTACATTGGAATTGGAGTCTGTATCTAGCAGGCTGACCAGGAAGCTTTATGGTGAGCCTGTTTCTGAAGGAGCAAGGAGGAAAGCTGAGTCCCACAGAGTTACCTTAGACTGTAAATGAACAATAAATTCCTGGGCATATCTGAAATATTCAGTCCAGAGTAGTATTTTTAGATTGCAAATGCTGCCAATTACGGCCTTGTTAAATAAAATACAATCAGAATTTTTTTCTACTTTCTAAAACTAAACCTGAAATTCACTGTGACTATTTTCTGTATGTGTTGGTGTCTGATGCCATATGATGCCACATATGATACATAGCTTCTATTGTATCTCACCATATTTTCACCCTCCTTATTTGTTATTATTACTTATTGTTACCTCTGAAATTCTGATCATGGCATCATTGGAGTGGAACCATGGCCGAATATTTGTATAGTGTGGTTTAGAGAGATGCCTAATAAGTAGATAGAATTCTACACTCACAGAGTTCATGCTTCCCTCTGGTTTCTGTGTGGTGCTCATAATTTACACACTAAATTGTATGATGAATTAGTTAGAAGTAAAAACAAAAATTACAGACCTGTCTAGAATTGGTTTCCTTACTCTGTGTGCCTAAAGATTGGTATATCTGGATTATTTTCTTTATCTACACATAATCAAAAGAGTTCTTATTTTAAACATTTGAGTATTTAAAAATATTTAACACTCAAGTATTGATAATTTCTGGTAAAAATATGAACAAGTAGATTGTGCTTGAGATATGGTCATTTGACTTTGAGGCTTTCTTATTACTTTTAATAAGACTTTGGAGTCCTTTGTAAAAAAAATCTTAGGCTAAAGATCCATCTCCTAAGCTCTTGATCCTGTACTCTGCCTTTATAAGTACTGGTTTCACAATGTGCAAGCACTTTTTTGAGCTTGCAATCATATCGCATTATTAATCCTACTCACAAATTAATGGTTAAAGAAAGCAGTTATTTTTAACAATTTTAGCCTGTATTCTTTCTCAATTAAAGTGAACATATGAGAAGTCTTAGATTATTAATAGATAAAAGGTAGTACTTGCCTTAAAGCCTTCATCTGTAATAATTGGTAAATGAAGGTATACACTGAATGATATGTACTTGTGCTCCATGACCGCACTTTCTATAATTAGTGCCACTAAATATGAGGTGGACATTTCTGTAAAATGTAGACACTGACAAATATAGTATAGCCAAGGAGTGGTGTAACTCATACCTGAGTTTCATGTTAGTTTTTGGATATCAGTTCAACAGAAAAATACTTTTGTTTCCAAAGACAACCATACTATAAACATGTAAATGCCATAAATGTGTAAATCTCATAGGTTAGATTTACCTTCTCTTTTTCTCTTCTTACCCTCTTCCAGGGTTATCTTTTCAGGGCTATTCAACAGATAATGATTGTATGCCCATGATAATTCCTAATTCAGCCTGCATCAGCTTTCCACTACTTTATAGATGGAACAAAGTATCAGATTCACATAGATTTTAATATGTTAAACTTTCTGAAAGCCCCTTTCAAATTCTTTGTTGAAGTTGTTTTTCATGTTATTTCTATCTACCACAACATAGGTAAGATTTGAGTTCTGTATTTAATTGTTTCGAAACTTTGATGTAGATTGTCTATACAGGTTTTTTTAGAAATTATTGGTTCATTATATGTCTTTTTTAAAAATGTTGTTCTGTAGATTAAAAAAGACTGTGGAACATGGTGGTAATTCAAAATAAAAGTAACAAGAGGGTGTTGGTAAATCAGTATGTAAGGAAATGTTCTTACATATATATTTGAAATACAGAGTGGGTGCTTGGACTACAGAGAATTCCAGTTCCCTAATTGTAAGGGATTTTATGCATTTCTGGAGTATTTACAGTAATTCACTCTAAGTACAAGAGGTAATATAAATTACTGAGAGGTTTTGATAAGTAAGAGAGCTACAGATCCTACAGATAGAAATGGCTCCAACTGTTTAAAGTGTTTAATTTATTTTTAAATGTTGTTTTAAATTATAAGATACTAAATAATTTACTCATGCTGTTCAGGAGATCTTGCTGTCTGTTAAGATTGTCAGCACTGTCATGTGTGCAATGGGAAATGTTCATTCCATTACATATTTTTAAAGCAGTCTTGTGTTTTTTAGGCCTAAAGACTGCCTTCGCTCTATTATGAAGAGAGTGAACCATAAAGATCCACATGTCGCTATGCAAGCGTTAACAGTAGGTTCTTTTTAATATAGTTAATTTTCTTCCTGAAAAGTTATATTGCAAAAGATCTCTAAGTTTTAATCTTTTTTTCATTAGCTTCTAGGAGCATGTGTATCAAACTGTGGCAAAATCTTTCATTTAGAAGTCTGTTCAAGAGATTTTGCCAGTGAAGTAAGCAATGTGTTGAATAAGGTAATGTATTGCATTGATTTATATGTTTCACCTATAAGTGAAGTCAGAGAATTGGGGTAATTTGAAAGAGGAGTGAAATCTACTTTTAGATGACTGGAAAGGTGGAGGAATGGAAGGAGAGAAGATTACTGTAAAGACTGTGGCTCTCAGAACTTTCTGAATGCCACTTCATACTAGTTAATATAGTTTGGGGGAGGTGTGATGTGTTAATTTATAAATAAGCTACTATATTTTCACATTGAATACAAATATGATGAAATGGAGATAAAACAGGGCTTCTATGTATTCTTATTTTACTTTATTTTGGGCTTAGCATATACAGTACTGATACAAACACAATGCTGATGTATTATTCTCCCTTTCTAATAAAGACCGAGTGCTAAACTTGACTACAAAATAATGTATCTATATGTTTTGTATAGACAGTAATGTGCAATTACTTGAAATTAAGATCAGATTCCTACATGATTTAACTAGTTTCTACTGTCCATACAGGGTCATCCAAAAGTTTGTGAAAAGCTGAAAGCCCTTATGGTGGAATGGACTGATGAATTCAAGAACGACCCACAGCTTAGTTTAATATCTGCTATGATAAAAAATCTTAAGGAGCAAGGAGTTACTTTCCCAGCTATTGGTTCACAGGTATATTAGATTTTTGTGGTTGTTCTCAGTGTGTCACAAATTCTTTTTATCCTCAGCTCTGTATTTTACAGTTTGCAGTCTTGAATTCTAGAATGTTTGGCAAACAAAATGAAAACTACCTTGTCTTAATAAAACTTCTTTGAGGAGTGAAATGCTCTCAATTACTTTAGATTTTTATATAGCAGATGAATGCAAAGCAAAATGGTGAATTTAATAAATTTTTTGTTGGATTCATTTTTACATCTTTTACTTTTGGCTAGGCTGCTGAACAGGCAAAAGCAAGTCCAGCTCTAGTTGCCAAGGATCCTAGTACAGTAGCCACCAAAAAGGAAGAGGAGGATTTAGCTAAAGGTGAGTCCATTTATTTGCTGATATGATGCTTATTGATTTATTTAAACGAACATTAGCTGATCCGTATGTGTAACTAATGGTTTCGTCAACAGTCAACCCATCAGAGTCTACTTTTAAAGACATCCGTGTCTCAAAAGCGTATCTGCATGAGTTTCATAACGTTTGTGTCCATCTTACCCCTTCTAAAATATGATCAATTTTTTTTTCTGCAAACTTGAGCTGAGTTTAATATTATTTAAATATAAACTTCTTTGCTCAGTTAAACTTATTTGAAAATGACCCAGAATTGTGAAATTATTCAAGGAATGATAGGGAGGAAAAAAAAGGAGGGGGCCAATTTTTGCTTGTTTAAGCAAAAATCATTTTGTTAATTATGAATTAAGGAGGGATTTTACTGTGGAGGTGACCAAGCACTGGCACAAGTTTCCCAGGGAGGTCATGGTGTCCTTGTTACTGGTGATATCAAAAAGTTGTCATTGGCAGTCAGCTGTGGTGACCCTGCATGAACGGGATTGGACCAGATGACTTCCAGAAGTTCCTTCTAACCTCAGCCAATCAGTGTAAATCTGATTCGGTGAATCCAGGCTAAAGGCTTCTAACAGAGAGCCAGTGCGCACTGGAACAACTGTATCTTCTTAATGTTTCAAACAACCTGGAAAAGTTCAACACTGTGTAAGATGTAAAGTAAATATTTTATGTAAGTTCAAGGTTGTATCAATATATCAATAATATAAAAATAAAAATTGGAGTAATCTTATTTGTGCTTAAATGTTGTTTATTTATCCTGTTCATGTTGAAAGCTTCAGTAAATCCACAGGCAGAATTCTACTCTTTGTTATTTACCATTAATTCTAAGAGAAAGACAGAAAGTCATTAAAATGCAACAGGAATAGAATTATACTAAAAGTTTTCACAGAATTAAATTTTCATATCAATCAACCCATTTTTACAGGGAATTTTCATCTGAGTAACTCTTCTTTTGTAGCTATTGAGCTGTCACTAAAAGAACAAAGGCAACAGCAAACAACGCTTTCCAGTTTGTATCCAAGCACCTCAAGCCTTTTAACAAACCACAAACACGAGGGCCGAAAGGTTCGTGCAATCTATGATTTTGAGGCTGCTGAAGATAATGAACTAACTTTTAAAGCTGGAGAACTTATAACTATCCTTGATGATAGGTAAGTTATATAGAATGCCTACTAGAATTGTTAAATTGTAAAATTTAATTAGAAATAATTATATCTTCTATGTAGAAGCATACTTTGAAATACAATGAATGGAAATGTATTTCTGTATAAATACTTTATTTTGTTATCTCCTAGTTTTTTTAGAAATAAATGTATTTGCATAGAAATTCTTGTGTAATGATTTCTGCATATATAAAAATTATATTTATGTGCTAGTAATATAAAAGCCTTTACTGTGCAACTCCTGGGAAAGTTCCACGTGAGTATGGGATTTCTAATGTGTGGGAGCTTTATTTATTTATTTTTTGATCTTTAGTGATCCAAATTGGTGGAAAGGTGAAACTCATCAGGGTATAGGATTGTTCCCATCTAATTTTGTAACTGCTGATCTTTCTGCTGAGCCTGAAATGAGTAAGTAACATTACATTTTTGTGTATACGTTTAACCCTGCCATGACTTATGGATGATTCCCTTATGATGGACTTCAGTTGCAAGTTAATATGATAATTGAAATAAAACAGAGGAGCCCTTGTTATGCTATCACAAACAACAGTCAGACCAAGGTTGCCCAAACTGTCTTCTGCTAAAAATTGCTGCTGTCTGCTGCTGTCTTTGTCAGCAGCTTCTTTGAGTCTCATGGAATTTATTGACATTGACACCTACATAAAAATGGGCAACAGCAGCCTTTTTTTCCAAGTCGCCTTTTTGTCCAGTTGCAGTGGTGTATATCTAATTGAGATGAAACTGAAGGCCCCATGGCAGATAGAACTCTGAGACAGATTACCAGTGTTCAAATAGTTCAAGAAACCTACATGCTGTAGGTATGTACATATGCATAGTGGACAGAGGGGTTTTCCACATGCTGTTTATTTACTTGTATCTATTTTTATCCATCCAATCTACTTTAAATATTTAATAAAAATATTAAATATTAGGCAAGACTTCAAGATTCTAGAGCTGATTTCTGTAAATTTTGTGGGTTTGCAAGATTAATCTGCTGTGATCTCAATTTTAGGGTGCTAGAAGTATGAGCAGGTCTGCAGAATTACATGCTGTAGCAGTCATTTGTGCTATGTTAAGACTATCTAATAAGAGTGTGTAAGAGTTGTATTTGGCTTTCTTGCTAAATATAGAGTTCTTTTGTGCTAGTCTCCACTACAGAGGAATGAAATGCTTTGCGTATAGGATTTGGTGAAGGACGACTAGAGAAACTTGAGACCTTTTGATTGTGTACTTTGCTCTGGAGAAAAAGCTTAGTATGTCACAGATGATTTTATCATTTTTATCTTAAACTTGACTTGCTAGCCATATTGTTTCTAATCACTCTCTGAGTCTTTTGTCCTGATGACTTTTTAACATGTATGTTATGTGCAGGGAACCATTTACTTGCTAAAATGTGTTTCTGCTGAGCTTGTGTGAACTCTATTTTTTTTATAATGTGATTTACAGATAAGAAAATTGTTTAGGTCTGTGGCTTTCAAATGTCAATAAAATACTAATTTTTAAAATTTTGACAGTACGGGTTTCAAATGGGAGGAACTTGGGCAAATGCTAGTTATATAATACTTATGTCATTGTTTATTTATTCTTTTATAAAATTAAATCTGGCTGTTTATTTTGCAGTGAAAGCTGAGAAGAAAACAGTGCAGTTCAGTGATGAAGTTCAAGTAGAGACAATAGAACCTGAGCCAGAACCAGTTTATATTGATGAAGTAAGCATGGTAAAAATACTGATTGGTACTAAATGCAACACTGGGACATTTAAATATGTGATGTTTAATCCTTTCATTTTGTACATCAAAAATATGATGAAAAGACAGGTTTCTTGAAAGTAATAAAACAAATCTGCAGTATTCTCTGTTGTTTAAGAGTCTTGAAGTTCTTAGGAATTTCTGAAATTGAATTTGGAACTGCACTCCATTTAGGGCCCTACTTGGGGGTTGTACATCATTTACCTCCAAGCTAGAACCTTACTGTTGATTGGCACATCTACTTTCATATTTTGCTTGAAGTACTTCAATGCCATAGAGATACCCACCTGGACTGCTCACTTAGATTTATTTCCAGTATAACCACTATTGTCTACCCTCAGACTGAAAGATCTCTTTCTGTCCCTGAAAAGTCTGAAATTTTGTTTCTCTCTATTTATCTGTACACTCTGTATGTTATCTGTGTACTGTGATATTTACCATCTCACCACAGGGATCCTGTAGGGTTTCAAGGAATATTCAGTCCAGGTAGATTTTCCCCCTGCTTTTTTGTTTTTTTTTAACCTCAGCTTGGGTTCTGTTATTCCTTTTTGAAATGAGAAATCAGTTACTGCCTTCCTGAAGTCCTGTTTAAGGACTATTTAAGTCCCACCTAAAAAACACTTCTCAAGAGATACTAGTTTGTAACCTGGTGAAATAGATTATCTGAGGCCTTCAGGTGCCTTTCAGCTTTTGTTTTCTGTGAGTCCATTGATTTTTGTTTCAGTCTCTTCTTCTGTTTTTAAATTTGCCACAGTATAATTTTTAAGGAAATAATTTGACTTTTCCCCACCTTTCCATGGTTTAAGGTGGACAAAACATGGTTTTATTTTCTACTTTCATACAACCTATATAACTCAGTGTGAAAAAAATTATTTATTTGATAGTGCTTAGCTAATAAGTTATTAAAAATAATTTACGTGTAATGCTTTTGGTACTTTGACCAATATAGTTCACTCCAAGACATATTTTTCAAATACTTTATGCCTAATTGTTTTCTAACCTTTGATGTTTTTATTATAAAAGGGTTGCACTTAAACTCCTTACTTAAGCTTGTCTTATTCTGACGTAAACCCTGAAATGCCTCTGAATATCATCCTAAAACAACACTTCCATATACATTGGTAATTACATGGCTCATGTACTCAATAGGCCTCATGTATCTAAAATTGCTTTTCAGTGAATTTGAAGTACCCAGTGTATTCTATGAAAACATTTCCAGTAATCCCACTAGGTGGTGGTATTGCATATCTAAAAACTAGTCTGGAGAATAGGAACTGCTCAGAAAATAATACATGTTTAGAAGGACTTTTAGGAACAGTGGAGTATTCTGCATATTCCACTTGTCACTGTTTTTTCTAATTTGGCTTTTCTTTGTTCAAGCATCTTCATTCCTGTAAAATAGCATGTATAATTTGTATTTTCTTAAAGTTAGTCTAGTTGATTCTCCAGTGCCAAGAGATCAAAATGGCTGTTGTAAACAGCTGCTTTAGTTTACTATCCTGAAAGTGATAATTCCCTTGCTGCCACATTTGCCCTAATTATACAATATGTGTTCTAGGATAAAATGGACCAACTCTTGCAGATGTTACAAAGTGCTGATCCATCTGATGACCAGCCAGACCTCCCAGAATTGCTTCATCTCGAGGGTAACAAAAAAGAACGAGTTTTTTCGTTGTTGTTTTCCTCACTGGTAATTTTCTGTATCAATGCAAATTGAAACTAAGCTGAAACTACTTCAGCTTCATGTACATGCGAGAAGCGTGCCTGAGAAAAGTGCCTGAGCCATAATTATCTTCTCACTTTTTTCCCATATTTATGAGACCAAAGTGCAAAATATTAACTTAAAACAAGTCTATTTTTTTCTAAAGAAAACCGTTTCCTATATTATTTTCCTTTTTAAGATGCATAAATACTTAATTCAATCATATTTGTCCAATATTTTTTTCCTTCATAGAATAGCACAGCAGAGTGGCGAAAGGAGTGTCAGGAAGATTCCATGACAGGAAGCAGAAATACTATGAATGTTTAGAGTAGACCTATGGGTGCCCCACGTGCTTTTCACTTGCATGTGTATTTCTGGAGTAAAAATTAGCATATTAGCATATTAGCAAATACCTCTTAGAGTGCTACAAATTATCCTATTCTTTTAGAGTCAAATTGTTCAGACTACCTCTTCATAAGGCATTATAGATCATTTTACCTAGGTTGATAGATGCACCAAAATTTTTGGAATGGGATTTGGATAAGGAAGATAGGAAACTTTCCAATTATGAGACAATTTTTAAGCCAATTATTTCAACATAGGCTTAAATTAACAATTCAGATGACACCAGACTTTTAAGAAAATGGCAGTTTCTGTATCTATCCAGAAGTTAATAATTAAAAAATGCATAGACTTGTAAGCTTTTAGATATCTCCTATCTTTCCACACCCATCTGGTTCATCATGTCTGTAAATGAATCCTGTTCTTGGAACTCACATCAGTGATGTATCTGTGCGTATTCTGGTTCCCCAAAACTAAAGAGAGGTAAAGAGAAACATGACTGGTTTTATTCTTTCAAGTCACAAATATAGCTATAGAGGCTGTTGTCTAAGAAGCAGATTGCCTGTATCTGATCCAGGACAGAGGCAGAGAAATTAAAGGTATGCTTGTCAACCAGCCTACAGATATGGCTTACTTTAGGAGCTGCTTCAAAATGCATTGTGAGCTCATTAAAGCAATGCTGAATTTTGTATTGAATTGTGGGACTGCTCCTAGGATCTGAAAGCAGTAGTGTGGTCAGATGATTACTCTCCAGCTACCTGCAACAGCACTTGCCAAACATATGGCTACATATAGTTCTACAATGCTAATCCAGGGTTACTCGCTCTACACTTATTAAGCTTTCGTGAACTACTTTTTTTGGCATAGGTTCTGAAAATTTTGCTATAGATGTGTTTTGAGTCCTTGGTTCCTATCACTGGTGGCAGATGCTGATCAACCTTTGACAGTAAAACAACTTCATTTTTCTTCTGCCATCCACATGTCCAGTCACAAATGTCTTTGAATTGGAGAGCTCATCCTAATGTGTGCAGGAGCTCAGGGTTTGTGGCTGGCAGTAGAGCATTCAACATTTTAACAGACATCTAAACAATCCTTGTCATGCCCTTTGCCATATTCCATACTATACATAAAAGTAGGTAGAATTTCAACAGGTTTTTACATCTTTTCCCAGCATTTCTGCCAATGTATTACTGATCCCAGGTTCAAGGAAGCAGATGGGTACCTCTCGTACAACTCCTCTTTCACCTGGAGTTGCCTTCAAGGAACTCAATAATGATCTGCTTTCACTCTCCATGGCTCAGATGTTTTCAGGACCTTCTGCATTTCTAATATACAAAATTTCCCTTTCAGCTTCTGTATCTGTTTATTTAATATTTGACAGACTCTGCCTTTCTGCTAATTAGCCATGGTTTGCTTGGAAATTAGATGAGCCTCATGTCCTTGTGCTGAAAGGAGGCATGGGGTGCATTTTTGTTTATTTTAATGCTTTTTCATTCTGGTAAGCTTTTGTGTTGGTTTTTGCACATGTCAGTGGTTCGGAAAACCCCTTTCCCCCAATTAGAATTCTAGTGAGACCAATGTGCTATTAGTGTCTTTGATGTGCAGATGATTGAGTCATTGCAACCAGTTTTCTCCTTCATAGTTTTCATAGTCCTTTTGTAGTAAAGTTGGATGAGCACATGATCTAGGTTGCAGTCACAAATCTTCCTCCTTGAAGAAGAGATCACCTTTCAATTTATTTGAACCTTCTTATGCAAAATAGTTCTAGTTTTATACTTCCTGGATGTTAAATATGTTTTGTTTCACTTTATTTTTATTTTAAAATATACTTTTTAAATTGTACTACTACTGGAAATTTTAGCTGGGTCTCATTCTTAAATTGTTCATGACACTACCTCTGTTATTAAAAATTTTTTGACATACAGATTATAGTAAAAAAACTAAAAAAACAATTGGACTACCATCTATTTCTATCTAATTTTTTTATTGCTTTCTGACTTTGCAGTATGGAAATGTTTATGACTCTGATATATTTTAATGTCTTTCTATTCTAGCAATGTGCCACCAGATGGGGCCTCTCATAGATGAAAAATTGGAAGATATAGACAGGTAAAAAAAAATGTTATGTGGTTTGACTGAAATTCATTCTTGGAAATACCAGAGTTGTTACTTGATAATTTCTGTGAATATTGGCAAAGAAAATATGTGTATTTATTATTAGTTTCTCTGAGAAGAGGTCAGAAGATTTTCTTCAAATAGTCACATAATAACCTATAGTGTTGTATCATTTGACTCTGGCACTTGTCAGGCATCACTTCACAGTAAGAAAATGTTACTTAATGCACCTCATGAAATTTGCTCTGTCTTGTCTGTCCTATACTAAAGCTATCTAAATTGAGAATGAACTGTAAAATATATTTTCTAGGAAACATTCAGAACTTTCAGAGCTCAATGTTAAAGCAATGGAGGCTCTTTCTTTGTATAATAAATTGATGAATGAGGACCCAATGTATTCCATGTATGCCAAACTACAAAACCAGCAGTACTACATGCAGTCATCTGGTGTTTCTGGCTCTCAGGTATGGATGTAACCTTTAATAGCCATTGACCTTATCAAGTTTACACTGACTGAGCAGTATTTTCTCTTGTTTTTTTTGCACGGTATGTAAAAAAAAAAAAAAAAAATTATTTTCAGCTACAAGCTGTGGATGCTCTCCTTTTGTGGTTTCTAAAGCTTTTAGTGTTTTTCTGTTTGGTTACTTTTGATTAAAAAAAAAGCCCATCCTGGACTTTAAGCTGCATAAAATTAAAAAATCAAACTGTCAGGGCTTTGCATAGTGGGTCAAAGAAAATAAACAACCAAAGGGCTGCAATTTCTCCCCATCTACTCACAGATAATTCAATATGAAAATGATACTATGAAAGAATTACCATTTTCAACTTCAGTAATTTAAATGCTAAATGCTCTTCACTGGTATTTTTTTAAAAAAAGGGAACCAAAAGATTTGAGAGGATGTTTTTCAGTTCTAAAGTCAGATATTAAATAGCAAATTTCCTTGTATTTTATTTCTAATATTGCTTTATTTAACTTCCTAGGTTTATCCGGGGCAAACTCAAGGTAATGCGTATTTGGTGGCAGGGAGTGCACAGATGGGCCACATTCAAGGTTACAATCTTCCTCCAGAACAGCTCCCTTCTCTCAGCCAAGGCACAGTTACTCCATCTGCCAGCTCAGTAATTCCTGGTCAGCCTGCACAGACATCTTACACAAAGTAATTTTAAATGTTTTTCTATTCAGGTTTAAAGCAATTTAAACAGAGACTCTTAAATTAAAGAAGTATAAACACAACTGAAAGATACTTCTGTGAAGAATATACTTCTGAAAGTGCAGTCATTTGCAGAGTGCTTTTTATTGTGTCATGTATTTGGTAAAAATTCCTGACAAATTTCCCAAGTTTTTTATTGATTTTTTAAAATGTTATTTAGTTTTTAATTTTCTGTATATGAAATATGTAATTTATATAGCTCTACACTATTTAATATAAAACATAGAGAAAACTGTACAGAGATGATTTAGTAGTAGTAACTTTTAATATGCTTTTAATGATGAAGATAATCTGCTGCTCTGGCTAGCTCTGCGTAATTTCTGAGAGTGTATATTCTATTGTTCCTTTGACAAATATATTGCCACAGAAGAATGGGGAGAAATCTGCTCATTTTGGGAAAGAGGTGAATGGGCTATGGATACTTACTAAAGCTTATACAGCTTGCCCAAATAAGGGAGCTAAAAGAGGCTTTCTACATTGGGTAAATGGCCAAAGATGCTAATTTTGGTTTAATTACATATATTGTGAAAAAGTTTGTGGGTTTTTGTTGTTTTGTTTTTGCTTGGTTGGTTTTTTTTTTGTTTACTCTGTGGAAAGTCATTTTATTCTAAGAAGTTGGGAGAGACATCCATCTTGAGTCGTTAATGTATTTGTTGGTCTTTGTCCCCAAGGATTATTTGGGATAGTAAAGAATACAATGATAAAGTCAGTTTCTGAATACTCAGCTGACTACTTTGGCTATTTAAAACAGTTTGTTGGGTTTTGTTTTTCTTCATGAATAGAATGCAAGATAGATGGTATTCCATGTTGCACCTTAAAATAAAACACAAGTACAGATTAATGGTCTGAATTTTAAATTTATGGGGAGTGTCTATTGTATGTTTAAATCTGAAGAGTGTGTTTGAGTTTTAATGGGAATACTTATTTGCTACAGTTTTAAATATTCAATGTGTACAGAGTTAGAAGATCTTTGTGTGTATAAATAGAACAACAGAAGAAGCAATAATGTTTTGCTGTTCTGTTGGTAAATTGTTTGTTAAATCTACTTTAAATATTTTTTCTCTTTTTTTCTTTTTTTTCAGTGCAATGGTTGGCTCTGTTGCTGGAAGTACCTACTCTAACCAGCCTTCAGTTTATAGTCCACCACCTGGTACTGTTGATGTTGCTGCTTATCAGAATGCTGGAACTAATATGTCCCAGGTGCCAAACTATAACTTAGCACCTACAGCTCTGCCACAGACAGCAGGTAGTCAGCAAGCACCTCCACAACAACCACAGCCTCCACCACCTCAACAACCACAGCATAGTTACTCACAGAAGGCTCTGCTATAGGATCCAGAACTTTTGATTCCTAATCTTTAACTTCTGCTAAAAGCGGTTGGCGATTTTATGAGTTTCTTCATTTAATCTCTTACACCTTGTTTATCCTCAGCTTAATAAGATCTCTCTTGGTGAACAAGTTCAATTTGCACTGACTTTTTAGGATTTTTTTTTTTTTTTTATTTTGCGGAGGAACTGATATATTTAGGAAATTTAATTCCTTTTAAAATGCCTAAAACTTGGTACAAGATTATTTATGTATGGTTAAATTGGCTAGTTTGTGAAAACTCAACCATTGCAAACTGTTGTGGCATATATGTTATGTACATATAGTGTGTGATTGCAGTAGTGCCCATTTCGTATAACTATGGTGGTCATGTGAATATATTTAACACAATGTTTAAAGATAATTTGCTTTACTATGTTATTTTAATCATGAACTGACAACCATATTTCATAATTTTGTCTAGTTTTAAGACAGATGCAATGTCTTTTTCCAGTGCAGGAAAAACAGTAATTCTGCAATCATGGTTACAATTACAAGCTAAGGTCTATATATGAATTTACAAACTTAGATATGTTTCACTACTTCTTGAATTGAACACAAGTGTATCATGATTAGATAGCTTATCTACCAAAGTAAACTTGTTAACTTGTAAATGATTTGGGGGGATAACACCAAATTATGATTCTGCTTCGTACATAATTACTAACTTAAAACTACTATTCAGAGGCTGCTAAACGTATAATGGGACCATGAAACAGATCAGGATTTTGCATTTTATCATGAGAAGCATGTAATTTATTTTTCCAAGTTTCTTTTTAAAATGAGAACCAGAACTGTATTCTATGTGTGTTGGTAGAGATTACACCAAAGAAAGACAGAGGAATTGATTTGAAAGACAAAAAATGGAGTTTTAAACTGGAACACACACTAATTACACTATTTTATTCAAGTCTTCTTAATCAGAACATGGAGAATTATGGACATGTAAATCACTTTGCTGAACAAACCTTCAGGGCTTCATTTTAACTCTTGTGGCCTTGCTTAGCAATTTGTTCTGTTTACTATTGTAACACAAACACTTCTGCCTTAAATGTCTGTTTCAATTTCCAATTGTACCATTTGAGTTCATTAGCCCTTCTATAGTTTGAATAGTTTGAGACATCTCAACTAAACACACTTTTAGGTTACTTTAAATTCTCTTCTGCAGCAACATGCATTAGGCTGATATAATTCCTTGGCTCAGTAACTTAGCCACATGGCTTTGTAAAGCATGGTATTTTCTTTCTGTGGATGAGGTGCTGCAAAAGAAACATGGTAATAGAAGGCAGCATTTCAGGTGTGCTTGGGCAGAGTTTCTTGTACAAAGGCTGCTGTTACTTTGCGTTTTTATTCCATCTAGTAATACGTCCTGGTTTTGTCTTTTCCAGCAACTAATTCCACTACAGCAATACTAGATGGCTTCAACATCAGGTCTGTTTTTAGTCCTGTGTGTATGTCAGAAGTTGTTTTTGTGTACGATATTTTAGTGATGCTTCTGGAATTAAATGTTGCAATTGTACATTGTATTATAAAATGAGCTTTGTTATCTCATATACTCCTGCATCTGTTCACAGTTACCTGACATGCCTTTGTTTCATTATTTTAATTGACATCAGTGTTTTGCCAGATATTTTCAAATGACTGCTTTGCATAACTTCTGACAGAGGTGGTTACAAACCATGCCTGTGGTTGATCTTTTCCAGTTGGGGATGTTCTAGCCAGCTGGTTGATGTAATGCTAGGATTTTCACATATTTACTTTCTCTAAAATTTTTAAGCATCCTCACAAACTGTCATTTGTTTCAGTACTTGGTGTCATCACAAAAGCCTGTAGAATTTAAAGGAAATACTAAAGAAAAAATAAAAATCTGTCATCTCTGTCATGGATGACTTTATGGATTGAAGAAGTGATGTCTTTAGAAAGGAGTTGTAGTATAATTTAGAAAGCGTTCTCTGTATGCATTAGGTATCTCATTCCAAAATCAGATATTCAATGTGTATAGAAATGTATAATTGATACACGAAAGTGAAAATAAATTTTATTCCATTGTTCTTAGTCCTTGATTCAAGAAGAAACTTGAAGCATCAAGATAGTTTTCTTGATATTAACTATTGTATTCTTAGGTTTTCACATGTTGTCACATGTTCCCTAATAAGGTCATATGGAACTTCTGTACAGAAATGACCCCCAAAAAAATATATTTGTTAGTAATTTGTCATTGTTTCTAAAATTTTTGAAGTTTTTCCTTGATATCTAGAAATGCTAGATCCTGGTTTCTCATTTGACCACTGAAACCTTATGTGTATCACAGTTCTGCTCTCCAACTTGCTTATTTTGGCCACTTATCTGTTTTTATGAAAATTAAAATCACCTTTCATGTTCATCATGACCAAAAAAACACTTGCTCAAGTTCAGCACCCCTTTAAATTCAGTATAATGAAAATTAGGGAAAAAAAGATGGACACTTTCTATTTTCCTTCATACTTCAATAAAAGTCACTGCTCTATGGTATCTCCACTAACAGGCTGGGAATTTTAGTTGACTTTGAATCAGAGTTCATTGTCTTCAGCTGGTGGACTAGGTCACTATAATTTTAAGTTCCTAGTCTTAGTGTTTCTGTTGCAACCTACATTTTCCATTTCCATTCCATTCCATGGAATTTTCAGATTAAATTGAATTTGGAGCTGTATTACTTCATGCTGATTTTTCTTATCAGAAAATGTCTTCCTGTTTGGTTGTGCCCTGTATGCTCAATACTCTGAAGTGACGCCTTCTCCTACTGCGCTAGATGCTGTCATTGCATGAATTCCTGCAGTCATCCTCTCATATTCTCTCTGATACTTCAGTTCACCTCCTCTCTGCCGGTTTGTTACCGTGAACCTGGAGATGCCATTGCTGGTGCTTCTCTGCCATGATTTATTCTCAGATTTCTTGTTTATGCATTGTTTTGACCAAGGTCACTTATGTTCTACCTTACTATGGTATTGAACGCTGAAATGTTAGTGAGCAGGAGAAAGTACACATATAGCTACTGTGTGGAAAAGCTTTTTAGCAATTAAGTGCCAGAATGTGAACTATTTGAAAGTAAGGAATCATTGGAAACGTTGCTCATGTTCCAATAGAAGACCTGATTTTTTGAATGTCTTGTTTCATTACATGTAAGTTATCAATTTAAGGTTAAAATGTGTTTAAGATATTTTGTATAATCCTTTTTCACTTAACCCTTTCATTAAGGAATACAAAAATGCTAATTAACTTTGGAAGAGGTATTTAAATGGCTTGGTTAGCTTGAACTGGAGCAAACTCTGGAAAGTGCCTTCTGTGCGTTTCACTTCTATGAGCAAAGATTTTTTTAGCCATGTGTATCATCTCAATTTATGTGGGCATAACAAAGGTGTTAAGATTTCCTGTACAGCCTCCCAGGAAAAACAGTGGGGGTATTATGTCGAAATTTTCTGTACTGATGTCACGGCAGTGTTCTCCAGAGTGTGCAGCTGCAGGAAGAGTCACAATGTACTTGCCCACCTCTGTTTAGTAACTGGTGCTGTGTAGATGTTTATTATGTCATGTTTTGGCCAAAGGAAATAGAGAGAGCAGTAAGAAAGAGCAAAATATAAGAATTTCTGCATGCTTCTCAACAGGTGTGGAGCAGCATACTGCCCTCATGGTACAGTTACTGTTCATGAATTTTGAGGCAGGGGGAACTGAAAAAATTTTGACCTTCAGAAAGTTGTGCCAGATTACAAATGGTTAGATGTAACAGAGAGAGAGGTTTGCTTTTAATACCATGTACATATTTTGCTGATCGAATCTAGGCTGCTACTATAGTTCTCTGATTTCCTCTAGAGGGCGGGAACATCAGATTTACACTGGAGAACTGCTTAATACCTCATTCTCCAATTTTTTTAGTATTTTCTCTAATATCGCTTACTTTATTTTTCATTCATATTTCAAAGATATCTGTGCAGTCTTTATATATAAAGGTCTTACCTTATTCCTTCTCTGCTGGGGTTCACAGAATGAAAAAAGACATCTCTAGTTAGAACAGCTACACTGGCACTTTGAATTACACAACTGCTTCTCTGGAGAACATGTATGTATCTGCTTTGAAGAACAAGGGAACATAATTTTTCCAGTTAAAAACTGGAAGAGATCTTTTTAAAGAAAAAGATAGACTAAAAGTTACAAAAACCTCCATTGCCAACAGCAGGCAGAATCATTTTTTACTCTGTTATTCAATCTTAGTAAAGCTGATCAACTCCACACTACAGATACTCCTTTCTTATTTTCAGCTGCAGTGAAGAATATTGACCTTCAGACATCCATAACCATAGGAAAACATGGAGAAGGCCTTGACATTTGAACTTTTTGCTTCAATATATAAAAAACACTATGTACATTTTTGAAGCCTTGTTTCTTAAATTAGGATGGTTGTGTTTAAAAACATTCCATTTGCTACTATGTAAATTGCAGATCTAAAGTTCCCTTTTCATGCTGCTACCTTGGCAAAAAGGTGGTAGGAGTTTTTGTTCTATCCTGCATGTTCTTCTGGAATCCAAATAATTTTTGTCTTTGTCATGAAAAAGAAAAACCTGCTGCAGTCTGCTTTGGTTTTAATAAAGTGTACACAGTAGCAAAGTGCATTTTTGTTTGGCTTTGTTTGTTTTGATGGTCCCTTTGATGTTGGTGTATGTATATATTTAGATATACTGCACTGTTGTACAAGAATTGTTTTAGTAAATAACACTATTTGTAAAAACTGTTAATTGTTTTTTGGTATGAATGCAAAATATTAAAGTTGGAGTACTTAGTTCATTATGTTGCAAAGTCAATTTATAAATGTTATGGAAGAATAATCTGAAAAGTACTTATTTTGCTGGAAGGGCTTAGAGATGGATACAGTAAGCAAGGTCTGTTAGAAGCACTTAAATTTTCCAGGTTCAGATGGGGTGGAGGTGAGGTTTTTGATTTTTCTGGTTGGGGAGGATTTGTGGGTTTTTTGTTGTTGTTTGATGCTTTCACATAAATTACATTATCTTTTTTTAAACAATCTGTCACTGATTTCCTTCAGCTAACTCAAATCCGTTGTAGATCTTATTTCAAGTATGCTGCATGTCCTCTATCTTTTGGTAAATGCATCATGAGTATTTTAAAGGGATTTAAAAAAAAATGGAAACAACTGTGTCCAGTCTAATGGATATATTTGGTTACAGATGAATAAGCAGATTCTATGGCAGCTTGACAGTTAATTCCATTTCTGATGACAGCAACACAAAGTAGTGTAGAACCTGGTGTTTTGATCAATGTGAAATGTCTTGAAGATCAGGCTAAAACCTGGTTTATGAATCTTACAATGCTGTCAGAATTGAAGCTTAGCAGACTTGACAGCTGTATGCTGTATTCTTAAAACAATGTTAAGCATTAATTTCTTGTTTAAACCAATATAGACACCATGGGACCTTGGGAGCAGTGAGCAGCAGTATCTGTTTGGCCTGTTCTTAGGGTCTTTTCCTAAAACTGTGAGCCAAACCTCTCAGGACAAGAGGTTATGTGGATTGTGGGTTAGTTCAGTAGGATAATTTGTGTCTTTCAAGAGAATATCTATTCAGCTGACAGAATTAAAAGTCCTACAGTTTGTGTAGAAATGAAACATTCTGTTTTGGAACAGGGAGAGGCAATTAATGTTGAGTTTGCTTTACTGCCTATCTTTTAGACAGAAAGCGTTTTTGTTGAGATGCCTATGATGAAAATAGATTTTGAGAGTTTGTTTCATAGTATTTAAAGTTTATTGTAAAATCTGTTGCCATCAATCTGGGCAGGATGTAATATAAGCATCAATCTGTATTTAAGGAGCTGGAAACAACTCTTAAACCTTTGAACAACTGGTTCATATATAATATGAACCAGTTCTCATAGCACTCACTTCATATCACATTTATGAAGCTGGAGACCTTAATGAATTGTCTTATTACTGTAGCTAGTTTTTGAAATCTTTTTCTACTCTGTTGTAGGATAAAGATTTTTCTCTCTCACAATATTTGTAGATTGAAGTTTCTGGATTATTTTATGTCAAGTCTGGTTTTGTTGATACTGATTGTGATACATGTTTTAAGTGAGAAATGGGAATTAAGCCATTCTGAGAGAACCTGTGGGAAAACTTCCATTGATTAAGGCTGATGTGCACTTTCTAAAATTCACATCAATCCTGGGATTGTACACAGGCAACATGCAGTAATGCAGATAGTCGTATAGGGCTAAAAAAGGCAAATACGTATTTTGAGCTAAAGGTTTAGAGCATTTTTAGCATACAATATTTTGATATAATATATAAGGAATGTGTTGATTGTAGCAGCTAATATTTTGCTTTGACTTTGCATGGGTTTTGATCCTTATGCATGCACCTTTGATTGCTGACAAACAGTGCAGCTTGGTGACATCACTGCCTTAGCAGCTGTGCTTCGGACCCTCGCAGAGGAGCAGA